GTTGGGTGACCATATTGTAAATTAATATTAAAAACTAAAAGCTGCAAAAAATATACTTTCAAACTATTTATTGTCAAATTTAGTCTAATAATTGAAAACATGGATGAAATAAGAAATATGAAACAACATAAAATACATACAAAGCAGAACACAGCTAAATGTATCAAAAGTATGTCTATGTAATATTAGAATTTTCTGAGACAATGAATTTTGGTTTTTCATTTTTTCCCTGTAAGAGGTTTTTATTTAATAAAATTTTTGGACAAAAAAATCGCAATATATCGCCTTGCTTACAGTATCGCAATATATCAGGATATATCGTATCGTGACCCCTCTGTCATGATATGCATCATATCGCCAAATTCTTGCCAATACACAGCCCTAGAGATGACTGCTCTAACCACTTCCCCACCATGCCATCTATGCCACATAAATGTAAGCAAACTAAACAATTAACCAAACCAATCAACTTCAACAAATGAAACTGAAATCCTAACCATCGGGGACAGCTGCCAAGGTGAGCACACAGCCAGTGTGATGTGGGCGGAGGCCGCCAACAAAACGACGTGCACGACCCGGAACACGGCTGTCAAAATCTCCCATTTCTTCTCACGGTTTTCTCCCAGTTTCAAGTTTCAGACTCTCCAACTGACAGAGCTCAGTGAGGGTCAGTGTATCTTTTGGTCATTGGATTTTCATTTTAGAAACGGGTATTTAAAAACAAGAAAAGAGTGGATATTTGGTTTTCGTTTTAAAATATTGAAATTAAAATTAAAATACAAAAGCATTTCTCATTCTTTTTGTCAAAAAGGGATGAACATAATTTTAAAAATGATTTGAGTTTTATTTTCTGTTTCTGATAGCATAAAAGAAAATTACTTTAAGACAGAAATGAAAAAAGGCTTGTTTGTTCAGAATCCATGACAGGTCGTGCCAACTTACTGCCTCACTACAATAACCTGTTTCACCACCAGAAGGGGTGTCTGCAATATCAAAGTTATTCAATGAATGTCCTGACACATCTCAGTAATCCAGGTAAAAAATCAAAAAGAAAAAAATTGTATAGGTCTTCTGGACGGGTTCTTCTCTAATGAAACGTTTCGTCTCTCCTCCAAGAGACTTCTTCAGTTTGGGAGGTTCAGGCAGGATTCCATGCAACCTTCAGGTGAAAATGAAGACCCCAAACCCAGACCCAAACCAGTGGTTATTCCGTATGTTGCGGGTGTTTCGGAGAAACTGAGACGTTTATTTTCTAAACATGATGTCCCAGTAGCTTTCAAACCCCAAAACACATTACGGCAAAGGCTGGTTCACCCCAAAGATCCGGTGCCCCGGCACAAACAGAGCAATATTGTATATGCTGTTAAGTGCCAGGAGGACTGCGACCAGTTATACATCGGGGAAACAAAGCAACCACTGTTCAAAAGAATGTCCCAACACAGACGAGCTACATCTAATGGCCAGAACTCTGCAGTTTTCACTCATTTACAGGCCAGCGGTCACTCTTTCAGAGATGAGGATGTTCTCATTCTTGATAGGGAGGAACGTTGGTTTGAGAGAGGAGTAAAAGAAGMCATTTTTGTRAAGAAAGACCGTCCATCATTAAACAGAGGTGGGGGCCTCCGTTTTCAGTTGTCCCCCTCCTACAGTGCTGCTATTGCCAGTATCACTCCACCCCCTGTTAACAATAGGTGTTAATTAGGTGCCAACGATAGCCATGTGATGCGAGTTTCAGTCACATGGAGGCAGGGCTTAAAAGCCTGAATTTTGCCTGAAACTCTGACTGAAGAAGTCTCTTGGAGGAGAGACGAAACGTTTCATTAGAGAAGAACCCGTCCAGAAGACCTATACAATTTTTTTTTCTTTTTGTTATTCAATGAACATCCCATTACAAGTAAAAAGCATTGATGTTGACTTCGGTATCAAATATATTTGTCAAGTTTTTATTTGGTATCAGATCAATATCAAAGTCGTAGTACTGCCACCCTTCGCTGAAAGGAAAAATCTAAGGACGCAAACTGACAGGAAAAAAAAACAAGCACAGATTTTGTCAAAACTCAGGAGGGAAAAAAAACTTTTTTTTGCCACTTCAGTAGAAAGCAGAACTGAGTATCAGTTTTTTAACTTCTTCATCATCAGTGACATTTTTTTCCTTTTTTTTAAAAAAAGGGAAAAAAACCTTTGTGCTTACTTAACAACAATCGTCCAACACACTAATAGAATGAAATTGATCTTAATTTGCTTTTTATTGAGAAAAATGGAGATGAAACATGGAGGCAGTAGCTGACATGTATTCAGTAAAAGAGACTTATTTGGTCAAAAACCACATGAATTACCTCTGCAAAGCCTTTGGTCACAGAGTGACAGTCATCATACAATTCATTTATGGGCATACTTCTCTGTGTTTCAGCCTCTTATTTACAGAAATCAGTGTTTCATTATGCAGAGCTGCCAGGTGAGCGCCCCCTCTGGTGGGGGAATAGATAGTCGTAGAATACAAACAAACAAGCCTTTTTTTTCATTTCTGTCTTAAAGCAATTTACTTTTTTGCTATCTGAAACTGAAAATGAAACTCAAATCATTTTTATTCCCTTTTGACACAAAGAATGAGAATGGCTTTGTATTTTAATTTTAATTCCAGTATTTTAAAACAAAAATCAAATATTCACTCGTTCCTTGTTTTTTAATACCCGTTTCAAAATTGAAAAGCCAATGACCAAAAGATACACTGACCAGTGAGATACTGACTCTTAATTTACACAGTTCTGCATCAACTCAGTGTCTGCTCTACACTGAGGACCTGAAGGAATTTGTTGTTAGCTGTTGTGCTGAGAACCAGGTGGAAGACTTTACAAATAATAAGGGAGTACTCTTGTTAATAAAAAAATAATAATAAGAAAATAAATCCTGTTTTCTGTTTTTTTTTTAACCTACTCAGTTTTTATGGCACCACCTAAAAAGAACACCTTACCTAAACCCCTCCCTGAAGGCTTCATACTGACCGACACTGAGAAGAAGAAATGGAGGCTTGGAAAAATTACTGGTCAGGGTGGCTTTGGACTCATTTATCTTGGTAAATCACTCATTCTCATGCTTACGCACTCACTCACACACAGGTTTGTTTTTATATTTCTGTGGGAACCGTGGATTGACTTCTACTCATTGGTAATTTTAGCTTAACCATGACCATTTACCCTAAAATTAACCTCACAGGTTCGTTTTAGGGTCACCTGACCCTAAAACAAACCTAAACTCAATTCACATCTTGGTCCTAAACCGAACCCCCCACCCAAAATTAATATCAGTACCAGTGGGGACCGGACAGTGGTCCCCACGATGCACATTCAGTCCCCACGAGGCTGCCTTTTTCTTGAAAATGGTTCCCATGATGTAGCAAAAACATGCCCACACACAGGGCTGGGCGGTATGACCTCAAATTCATATCACGATCCCTTTACGGTAACGGTATATATCGCGGTACAAAATTATCATAAAAAGTTAAGATAATGTAATTTTTAGAGTATTTTTTGCAGAAAACTGTAATCTTAATCAAACTCAACATTGAACTTATCAGCTGCTGCTCATCTTCGTCATCTTCATCATCAGAGGAGAAGCCGACTTTACATTAGCAAAATGGATTTACGACTGAATGAACGTCCACGTCTTTTTTCTTTTTATAATCTCTGTGGGTAACAATACTTAAAACTTTTTTTCTCTGACAATTGGGTGTGAAAAACTGCAGTTGTTAACAATTCGCTAAGCCACGAGCAGCAGGAAGAGAGGAGAGGAGAGGGAGGAAATGATCCCGTGATACGACGTAACTTTTCTACAGCGGGAGAAGGAAGTTTTGAGGATTTATTCTCTCTAAACATGCTTTAAAATGCTAGAATTTCTTCATTATATTTCAAACTCATGCTCAGTTGTCTCTGCACTCGCAGCATTGTTGACACAGGTGCGATGACGTAAAGACGATAGGACGTTAGAGGATAGATTTCTACAGTCTACTGCATATACCGCGCAACCCTACACACACACAGAAAGTTTTTAAATGCTGTGGCCTTCTTGTCGCCTCATTTTCAACTTCTTATTTTCTATCATTTGAAAGCTTCCCAGGATGTAGACAGACCCGTTACAGAGGACTCGAACTTCGTCATAAAAGTTGTGAGTGTTATTTTTATTTTATTTTTTTTACAGTCGTTAAGTTTGACCATGATGTTGGGGATATCTGCAGCTGGATGTAGAATAAAACAAGTTTTACTGCTCTTCACCAAAGACAATATCAAACAATAATGTTTATTTCCTGTCTCTTGTCATAACTCTTAAGATCCACTTTACAAATTTAGCTGAAATTTGCGGAAAGTAGTCATTATCTGCAACAAAAGAGCAATTCGAGCTTAGCCAACACAAATTGCCTCTGTGAAATCATTTTTACAGCTACACTCAGTGTGGAAGTAGCCGAGAGTCGTCTACAAACTTTAAACAAATTTCTTTACTATTTATGGAATTTTGACCTTGTTTGCGTTAATATAATCATCCTTCTGTGTACTTCTGTGTGCGCAGGAGTACCAGGAGAACGGGCCGCTGTTCTCAGAGCTGAAGTTCTATCAGCGGGCAGCCAAAGCAGAAAGCGGTGAGTAGCACAACCTGTCCTGCGTCCCCGCAGCTCGCTGGAACACGCACGCCTCTGACTGATGAAGTGGCTGCAGACAGAGGTTTGGCTGCCTGCTGCACAGTAATTAATAATAAAGCAAAGCAAACATGCACCTCGGTGGCAGCAGGGGCCTCCTCTCCATGCTCGTCTGAGCTCTCCAACACCTCCACTTGGAAGGCAAGAGAAGAGGGAGAGCCATTCACATGTAATGATGCCTGGGCCTCCGCTGAGCCCCTGACCACCTGCCAGCCTGGTTAAGAGCCAGTCAGGCCGACCGCCACCAGGTCCCAAGCCAGGACCAGCACTTTGTCTGCAGCCTCTTTGTGTCTGCGTGGGTTTCCGCTCTCACCCCGCTGGTTGTATGAAGACGTTCTCACAGCTACAAGGACAAACCTGGTGTTTTCACTCAGGCTCACTTTTTCTTCACACTAACAAAAACAAGTCAGGTGTGGGTCAAGGCTGAAAGAATAAAAACTACGGAGTTGCCAGATATTCTTTTTACCACGACTATCAGTAGAATTGTGCACGTGTGTTTGTCCTGTAGTGTTAGCAAAATATCTCAAACCATTGGACAGATTTGAATGAAACTCTCAGAAAGTAACCAATGGCTGTGCAACAAACAGTGACTAACCTTTAAGGCCCCCACATACTCAGGCATACTTCACTCTGCGGAGGCCCGTGCGGACTCTACATGGACCCAAGGCGGACGTCCGCCGGACTGGTCCGGGCAGAGGTCAAGTTTTTACGTCCGCGTCTGCGGTGCACACTGGCGAGTACTGTTTTGGATGTGACACCAAGCAGATAAAGTTGAGAATCGGTGTCATTTGTGGACAAAATTGAGTCAAACTTTAAAGAGCATCTCATGGAGGAGATTAGAAAACTTTATGACGCGTCAATGAAGGAATATAAGGACTTTTAATGAGCAACAAATTTGTGTTAGGAAGTAGCTCAGATCCTTCTTTTTTTCTTTTGTTGTTCTAAAGCTAAAATGCAAACTATCTCTTCTTCCTCATCCTTGAAATCATGACTGAAATTGTGAGAAATTAAATAATTCGTCAGGCGGTCAGTACGCTTGAGTGTGAAGTGTCAACGTCCGTGGACAATATGCACACAGTACGCCCGATTATGTGGGAGCCATAAAGCCTGAAACATACTCGCTACGACGCCGACCGGTCGACGCGCAGTCACGTGGTTGTTACCACACATTACTGTCGTCACGGGAATGGGGGTAAAAAGTTCTGCCGGCAGGTTGTGCCAAAAGAAGCGGCCAAGTTGACGCCGCGAACACCGGTGACGTAATTTTCGTCATGAAACTGCGACAACCCGTGCCGACGTCGGCAGTTCGGAGGGAGTATGAAGACCGCTTTAGTGTCAACCCAGTTTGATCTCAGCTGATCGACCTGAGCAGACATAATAATAATAATAATGATAATAATAGTAATAATAATGGCTGAAACTCCATCAGTTTTACAAAGACTGAGTTAAATTTGGTGTGGTGGTGGCTGAGAGTCATTCTACAAGTCATTATTTGAACTCTCGGGGAGGGGGTGTAGTGCCCCCTCCAGTTTCAGTTGGAGTCTTTGCCTCACATGGAGTAGTTTAAGTATCTGGGGTTCTTGTTCTCGAGTGATGGTAGGATGGAGCAGGAAATGGATCAATGGATTGGAGCCTCGTCCTCAATAATGAGGGTGTTGCTTCAGTCCATTGTGTTGACGAAAGAGCTGAGTGAAAAGGCAAAGCTCTCGATTTACTTGGTCTGTAAGTTCCAACCCTTACTTGTGGTCATGAGCTTAGGATCATGATTGTAAGAGTGAGATTTTGAATACAAGCAGCTGAAATGAGCTTCTTCATAGGGTTGCCTTAGAGATAGGGTGAGGTGCTTCGTCATCTGGGAGGAGCTCAGAGTAGAGCCGCTGCTCCTCCACATCAAAAGGAGTCAGTTAAGGTGGTTCGTCTGATAAGTGGGCCTCCTGGACACCTCCCTTTTTTTAGAGTTTTTGTTTTCAGGCATGTCCCACTGGTAGGAGGCCCTGGGGCAGTCCAAGAACTCGTTGGAGGAATTGCATCTCTTCTCTAACTGAGGAACACCTTTGGGTTCCTCATGTGGAGCTGGAGAGATGGTCTGTTTTTTTTTTCAGGACCAGTTGCCTCCATAACCCCCCTACAGATAAGCAGTTGGGGATGGAGATAGAGTTCTAACAGAACTCATAATATTTATTCATTTACATGGTCGTTAACAGGGTTTGACCAACACAGCTACAACCAGGTCTTTTCTCAACATAAAAGGATATCAGTATAAACTAGTATAAAAGGTGGTGGGTAATATAGTCTTTAATTTGACTTCAGTCTTTTCACACACAGTCAGTACTTTAGGAGTGTATGAATAAAAATGGGCTTTAACACATTCAGTAATTATTCTGTTCTGCTTTCAGTGCAAAAATGGAAACAAGCCAAGAAACTGGACTTTCTTGGAATCCCCACATACTGGGGGTCAGGACTGGCAGAGTACAAAGATCTCAGGTACGGAATCACTTTTTATTATTTTGGCAAAAAAAAAAAATGAACTTTACTGTCTGGTAAGTAAAATCCTTTATTTTTAGTTATGTCTGTCTGCTGGTAACTGTTTCATTCAGATGTTTAATTTTTATCCAGTTGTTAGAAGACTCTTAGGTCAGCAGCAGTTTATCACCTGCATTTGAAAGTGAAAGGGTGATAATGTTTTGTGTGTCAATGTTCATTTGTAAGTTTGTCAGTCAAATATTTCATTGCACACAATATGATTTTGCCCAACCCCAGATGTATCTTTATAACAGAATCAGGGTCAGTCCCATTCAGAAGGGATGCCACAGCTTAGCCAACCTAACCAATTTATATTCTATGCACTGGTGGGTTGTATGACATCTGTTTTTAAAACTTTTCCAATAATCATTAGAGTCAACACTGTCTGTCTGTTAGCAAAATATCTCACGAACCACTGGACAAATTTTAATGAAACACTGAGAAAGTAATCTTTGCATGTACACATCTGATTAATTTTTAGAGTGAAGCCAATGGTTTCCACAGCTAATCAACCTTATCAAACAAAACAATGGGCCTCATGCAAGAACCGTTCGTACGCACAGATTTGTTCTTAAGTTGTGCGTACGAGTGATTTAGGAGAATTTGTGGCA